ATTGAAACTTTAGAAAATTGGGACCTTGGAAAATTGGGACTTTAGAAAATTGGGCCCCTGAGAAATAGGTATCTTGGAAAATTGGGACCTTGGAAAATTAGAATCTTGTAATTATGTAACCCTGTAACTCTTACAAAACTAACAATTTAAAACCATAGTACATAATGAATTTAATAATCATTCTTCCAACTCCAGTTCAGTACAATTTTATACATAAACCTAAGAAATGAAAGAAATACAAGATAATTTACACATTTCACTTGGAGGTAGAGAAATTTGACAGTGAACAATAGTCCTTTTCATGCCGTTTTACTTTCGCATGAGGCTCGACGTTGTAAAAGTTACATCCAATTAAATTTTAAAGCAGTTTCGTAATAAAGCGTGTTTGTGATGAAACCACCTTAAGTAAAATACTCCAAAGTGCGTTGATGGACGGTTGCTTGATGAAAGCTTGAGGTAGTCAAACACTGGGAGTACCTCTAAAAAGTTATATTACGTAAAGTTACAAAGCACAGTGTGTTCGTCGGAGAAAGAAATAATTATCTATGTGAACGACACTCTCGTTGAGATATGAAATTTCTGCTTTCATTCTGAACTGGAATTTTGGGGCTGGAAATTTTGCAATTTGACTGTTTCGAGATTTAGTCATTTATTTTTAGTATTTTTAGTCTGTTGACTTTGGAATTAGGGGAGTTTGTAATAGAGAGATATGAGAAATAGGGGAAATTTAGGAATTTTGGAAAATTGAGAAAATTGGGAAAATTTGAAAAATCTGTAGATTTATAGAATTTTGAAATTTACGGAAATCTAAGTAGTTTAGGGAACTTGGAGAATTTGGGGAATTTGAGAAATTTGCAATTTTCGGGATCCAGAAATTTGAAAAGTTAAGAATACGAAAATATAGTAATTTAATAATTAAAAATTTATAAATGCAAAAATTCTCAACCCTCCAAGAATCGCTCCACGTTCCAAATTGCAAAACACACTTCCCTTTAAAAAGATACACTTCCAATCTCAAATCGAATCTACTCGATCACTCGTCAATATCTTGTCCTCCACTTGTCGAGATGCTTTTCCGATAATTTCCTCCTCGATACGGAAAGGGTGCATTAGAAAGTTGAGAATATTTCGCAACGTGTTCCACGTATCACGACGCGAAGTTTCAGCCGTATCATCTCCCTCCGAGCATTTTCGAAATTTAAGAAGCACGGAATGGACCGGGTGCATTGACAGCATTGCGAATTGATATCGTACCGCGGATAAAGGGCGTCGCATAGCGAACGACGCCGAAATGGATGTCATAAACGTTGCGGGCCATTCTTCGGCACGTGCCAAATTGCAGTCGCTGCATTAATGCACCGACATCGCTAAAATTTCTTGCCAACCTGCAAACAGAGAGAAATTAGAATCTTGGGAAATTGGGACTTTAGAAAATTAAGATTTTGGAGGATTGGGAAATTGGGACTTTAGAAAATTGGGAGTTGGGAAGGTTGGGACTTTTGAAAATTGGGAAATTGGGACTTTTGGCAAATTGGGACCTTTGGAAAATTGGGACCTTTGGAAAATTGGGACCTTTGGGAAATTGGGACCTTTGGAAAATTGAGACCTTTGGAAAATTGGGACTTTGGGAAATTTGAAGCTTGGGAAATTGGAACTTTAGAAAATTGGAAAATTGGGAGAATGGGACCTTGGGAGAATGGGACCTTAGGAGAATGGGACCCTTGGGAAATTGGATGCTTAGGAAATTGGAACCTTGGGAAAATGGGACTTTAGAAAATTGGAACCCTGGGAAATTGGGACCTTGGGAAATTGGGACCTTGGGAAATTGGGACCTTGGGAGATTGGGCCCTTGGGAAATTGGAAACTTGGGAATTTGGGACTTTAGAAAATTGGAACCCTGGGAAATTGAAACCCTGGGAAATTGGAACCCTGGAAAATTGGAACCCTGGGAAATTGGAACCCTGGGAAATTGGGACCTTGGGAAATTGGAACCTTGGGAGATTGGGCCCTTGGGAAATTGGAAACTTGGGAATTTGGGACTTTAGAAAATTGGAACCTTGGGAAATTGGGATCTTGGGAAATTGAACCCTTGGGAAATTGGGACCTTGGAAAATTGGACCCTTGGGAAATTGGAACCTTGGGAGATTGGGCCCTTGGGAAATTGGAAACTTGGGAATTTGGGACTTTAGAAAATTGAAACCTTGGAAAATTGGGACTTTAGAAAATTGAGACTTTGGGAAATTAGGCCCTTAGAAAATTAGGACTCTTGCACCCAATTCACTTCCCTCCAAACCCCAAATTCCCCCTTCCTTAACAAACAATCGCAAACAAATTTCCAACCGAATCACAATAACATATTCAAAAGCAAAGTAAAATAAATTGGTCCATCAAAAGCGAGCATGTTTCCGAATAGCCGGTAAAAATATCCAAGATCGATGTATAAGCGATTCCGTAGAGTGGATACTCGATGAAAAATTTATTACGTGCAGATTGAGCGATAATCGTGGAACTTGTGTGAAGAAAATGGTGTTTTCGAGCTCGGTCACGTTCAAGGATCTCGTGCGAGTAATTACCGGAGAAAAATATATGGTTGCACTCGATATTTCATAGTCGAACGAACTCTATCCTCGACTGCAACTATGTATGCTGACCTTAGAACACGCGTTATATTTAGACGCGGCGTGCCATTAAAGTTCCACGATATCTTTGTACTGGGTCATGTTCCGTTGTAAACATAGTCACTGTAACACGCGTAATTTCATTTTAAAGCGCATCTTCTGATAAATAATCTTCTACTATAAACAAGCCTTCATTTTAACCATCTAGGTACAAGTTTTTTTTTGTGATTTATAAGAGTAAGGCTGAAACTATGAAATCAGTCGAGTGATTCACAAGTTGGTTCGCGAAGTGGTTCACAAGTTATAAATTGTAAAATTTCTTTGGAAATGTTGGGAAATGTAAGTAGTTTGGGATTTTGAGAAATTGGGAAATTGGGAAATTGGGAAATTGAGAAATTGGGACTTTTGGGACTTTTGGAAATTGGGAAATTGGGACTTTTGGGACTTTTGGAAATTGGGAAATTGGGACTTTTGGGACTTTTGGGACTTTTGGAAATTGGGAAAGTGGGAAATTGGGAAATTGGAACCTTGGGTAAATAGACCCTTGGGAAATTGGGACCTTGGGAAAATGGGCCCTTGGGAAATTGGAACCTTGGGTAAATGGACCCTTGGGAAATTGGGACCTTGGGAAAATGGACCCTTGGGAAATTGGGACCTTGGGAAATTGGGACCTTGAAAAATGGACCCTTGGGAAATTGGGACCTTGGGAAATTGGAATCTTGAGTAAATGGGCCCTTGGGAAATTGGGACCTTGGGAATTTGGGACCTTGGGAAATTGGGACCTTGGGAAATTGGGACCTTGGGAAATTGGGACCTTGGGAAATTGGGACCTTGGGAAATTGGGACCTTGGGAAATTGGGACCTTGGGAAATTGGGACCTTGGGAAATTGGGACCTTGGGAAATTGGGACCTTGGGAAATTGGGACCTTGGGAAATTGGGACCTTGGGAAATTGGGACCTTGGGAAATTGGGACCTTGGGAAATTGGGACCTTTAAATGGGCCCTTGGGAAATTGGGACCTTGGGAATTTGGGACCTTGGGAAAATGGACCCTTGGGAAAATGGACCCTTGGGAAATTGGGACCTTGGGAAATTGGGACCTTGGGAAATTGGGACCTTGGGAAATTGGGACCTTGGGAAATTGGGACCTTGGGAAATTGGGACCTTGGGAAATTGGGACCTTAAATTGGAACCTTGAGAATTTGGGACCTTATGTAATATAGACCTTGAGAAAATGGGCCCTTGAGAAATAGGATTCTTGGGAAATTGGGCCCTTGGAAAATTAGACCCGTTGGGATATTGGACCCCTGGGAAATTGGAAAAATTTGAGAAATTTAGTTAAAATTAGATCTACTGAAAACTTGCTAAAAATTTCAAATACCCAGTGTTTGAACCTTGCTCTGACAGTTCCACAATTTCCATTACTTTCATCAAGATTTATCATTGTCCTCATCTTCCTTGCCTTCATTAAACCTTCTCTTCATCCACCTTGCCTTCATTGAACCTCGTCTTCATCTCCAAAATTCTACCTACATAAATGCAAGAATAAGCAACGTTTAACAACTCAGATATTCGTACACACGAGTAACAAAATTTTTACCGAAAAGTTTCGATGCACGCGAAAGGCGATTATGTAAATGTGGGAGCAGATGGTTTCGAAGAAGTTCCTCTGATTCGGTCATTAATTTCAGAGTCCACAGCAGGAAGACTGGGACAGCAGCACAGCTTTCTCCGCTTTGAAACATTTCGAGAGACTGGTGGAAACTACAAGGATGACTCTCCTAGGACCAGGATGTCGAGAGACACTCACATCTGCCCTGGATACTGTCGTTGAGCGGACGCAGGACTTTACTGATAGTGCTTATACGAGTCACGAGCACAGAGAGAACATCCTTTTGCTATGCGATCGAGCGAAACTCGAGCTCAATACTCTCTTGCGGATCGGTAACAGCATGGTAAGGATAATGCTCTGAAACATAGAACGTTTTTACAAATTTTGTTTGTGAAAGCAATTTTGGGATTTTCTTTCTTGAATGAAAGTTTCGTTATTTTTATCGTGGAAAGTTTTCTTGTGTCAGAAGTAGATACTTTGTTCTAATAGTTATTTGCTTTGTTATTGTTCAAATTGTTCAGCAATTATTGTTGTGAATACTCTAATGGTTATATTGTGAATTGTTATTGTAAATGAAGTAGTTTAAATTTCTTTTGCTGAAGAATTTTGGTACTTGAAATTTTTATGCCAGTCAGATTATTTAAACAATAAATAACATCCACCTATTCATAAAGCAGTTTTATTGTTCTTGTTTTCAACACAGTTGCACAAGTGTAAATTGCAGACTCGATATAATATTCTGGCACTGAATTTGTTCGAATGGATGCAAAAAAAGATTCATATAATACCGGATTAAATGTTCCCTCCTGAAAGAGTAATCCCACACGGCTTGATCCGCGTTTGAAAGAGTCGTAAATCCGAATGAATGACCGTGCCAAACTGAATCAGTTATCACAGACTAATGGCAGTGAATGGCATAGTAGACCGGCTGAATAGCTGTCCTTTTAGTTGGGGAATAAAACATATGTGTCCCTTTAGGAAACATGACCATTAGCCATGTAATATTCAGGAGCTATTATCTAACTGGGCTAGTTTAATGGAAGCTAATAATTAAAGAATATTAGTGCGTTGATATTGATTCACGATATTAATAATGAGGAAGGAAATGATATGTTGATGTGAATGAAATAGGGATGATGTGTGTGATGTTGTGATAGTATTGTAGTTATGTGGATAAATATGGTGATGTGAATGAAGTCTTATGTTAATGATGATGTGAGTAGAATGATATGTTCATGATGATGTGAGTAGAATCATGTATTCATGATGATATGAGTAGAATGATGTCTTCATGATGATGTGAGTAGAGTCATATCTTCATGATGATGTGAGTAGAGTCATATATTCAGGATGATGTGAGTAGAGACATGTCTTCAGGATGATGTGAGTAGAGTCATATCTTCATGATGATATGAGTAGAATCATGTATTCATGATGATGTGAGTAGAGTTATATCTTCATGATGATGTGAGTAGAGTCATATGTTAATGATGATGTGAGTAGCATCATATCTTCAGGATGATGTGAGTAGAGTCATATATTCATGATGATATGACTAGAATCATATATTCATGATGATGTGAGTAGAATCATATATTCAAAACGATGTGAGTAGAGTCATATATTCATGATGATGTGAGTAGAGTCATATATTCAGGATGATGTGAGTAGAGACATGTCTTCAGGATGATGTGAGTAGAATCATATCTCCATGATGATGTGAGTAGAATCATATATCCATGATGATGTGTCTGAAATCATATCTCCATTACAATATAAATAGACTCATATCTTCATACTAATCTGAGTAAAATCATACCTCAATAACAATATTAAAATCAATTCATGATGATATGAGTAGAATCATGTATTCATGATGATATGAGTAGAATCTTATCTTCAGGATGATGTGAGTAGAATCATATATTCAGGATGATGTGAGTAGAGACATGTCTTCAGGATGATGTGAGTAGAGTCATATATGCATGTTGATATGACTAGAATCATATATTCATGATGATGTGAGTAGAATCATATCTTCAGGATAATGAGAGTAGAATCATATCTCCATGATGATGTGAGTAGAATCATATCTCCATGATGATGTGAGTAGAATCATATCTCCATGATGATGTGAGTAGAGTCATATCTCCATGATGATGTGTCTGAAATCATATCTCCATTACAATATAAATAGACTCATATCTTCATACTAATCTGAGTAAAATCATACCTCAATAACAATATTAAAATCATATCTCCATCACAATATGAACAAAACATCTCCACACTAAAAGTATCCTCTCAACTGAAAGTAACTAAAAGTATCCTCATGACAATCTGAACGAATCCATATCTTCACCACGAATGTGAACGAATCCACATCTTCATAGTACCTCCAACAACAATCTCACCTTCTCCACACAAATGAAGTCATAATATTTTTCCAGCAATATGAAATCCAGTACTTCGAACTGAACTCTGAATGTTGTTTACCCTAGAATTACGAAGGCGGCGGTGGATCCCCAAGTTCTGAAATGGAACAAGCTGTGTTGGGTGTGCTACGTACCACCAGGGATCTTCGTCAGCAGCTGTGCACCACGACCATGGAACAAGCTGGCGACTTAGGCCAGGTAACCAAAGCTGGCCAAGAACTTGTGTCGACGATCACGAACCTGGCTCTGGCCAATGACATAAATCGTCTTCAAGAGAGCAGCGACAGATTTCATGAGTACATCGACCATATTCTTGAAGTGAGTACCCTCTTCGTTTAATAAACATATCCTTCTTTTGTTGTCTCTGAAAATTTAAATTAATATGAACGTAGCCGTACAAGTCATGTCTATGTAAAATCTTAATTACAATCAAATCTATATAAATTTGTAGTAAGACCTTGTAAGTAATAATAATAAGAGACCTTGAACAAGTACCCACCTCTCCAAAATGATCAAATATTAATCTCATCCAATACTTGAATCAGGTATGCAAAATGCTGAGACACGTCGCACTTTCGGAATCGCTGCAAGTTTCCGCGAAGTTCACGGAGATCAACTTGAGAATATATGGTCCCCAAGTGGTAACCGCCGCTCACACGTTGGCCAGACATCCCACCAGTAAAATTGCAAAGGAAAACCTAGAAGGTAAATCAACAGCTTAAACGCATGTCTCTGAATAGAATAAATATACATTAACAAATATTTTAGTGTTCACCGACATGTGGCAGTGGCTTATGACCGATGTGACCACGGTGGCGAAAGACGTGCTCGAGTTGAACCAAAATCGACCGGAGAAGCAAGTTTACATGTCTCTGCCACGGCCAGGAGTGAGTACATTGAAGCTATATTGATTAGTGGGACTTTTGGAAATTGGGACCTTGGAAAATTGGGATGTTGGGAAATTGGGACCTTGGAAAATTGGAAGTTTGGGAAATTGGGGGTTTGGGAAAATGGGACTTTTGGAAATTGGGAGTTTGGGAAATTGGGCCCTTGGGAAATTGGGCCCTTGGGGGATTGGAACCTTGGGAAATTGGGCCCTTGGGAAATTGGAACCTTGGGAAATTGAAACCTTGGGAAATTGGGGATTTGGGAAAATGGGACTTTTGGAAATTGGGAGTTTGGGAAATTGGGCCCTTGGGAAATTTGACCCTTGGGAAATTGGAACCTTGGGAAATTGGGGATTTGGGAAAATGGGACTTTTGGAAATTGGGAGTTTGGGAAATTGGGCCCTTGGGAAATTGGACCTTTGGGGTATTGGAACCTTGGGAAATTGGGAACTTGGGAAATTGGAACCTTGGGAAATTGGGCCCTTGGGAGATTGGAACCTTGGGAAATTGGGCCCTTGGGAAATTGGAACCTTGGGATTTGGGCCCTTGGGGGATTGGAACCTTGGGAAATTGGGCCCTTGGGGGATTGGAACCTTGGGAAATTGGGCCCTTGGGGGATTGAAACCTTGGGAAATTGGGCCCTTGAGAAATTGGAACCTTGGGAAATTGGAACCTTGGGAATTTGAAACCTTGGAAAATTGGGCCCTTGGGAAATTGGAACCTTGAGAAATTGTGATCTTGAGGAATTGCCACCTTGGGAAATTGGGACCTTGAGAAAATTGGGTCCTTGAGAAAATTGGGACTTTGAAAAAAGGGACCTTGGCGTCTTAAGTTGGCATCTATTGACATCTAACACATAGCCTCCTGGTACTATAGGTGCCAATGGATGCTTGGGTTTAAAATAAAGTTCTCGGATGCTCAATTAAAAACTTGTCATAGCTACTGAACAATTTCTGTACCAAGCACATAAATTAAAACGAGACTCTATTTCAGAAACACGGTACCACAAGCAAGCCGTTGAAGCCCGTACGACTGGACAGCGAGGAGCAGGCGAAGATCGCAAAGGCCGGCTTAGAGATGAAGCTGATCACTTCGGAGATGGACGCGGAAACGGAGAAGTGGCAGGAGAGCGGAAGTGCCCTGGAGGAGAACAACGACATCGTGAAACGAGCGAAAAACATGTCGTCGATGGCGTTCTCCATGTATCAGTTCACGCGAGGCGAGGGAGCGTTGAAAACAACCCAAGATCTGTTCACCCAAGCTGAGTATTTCGCCGAAGAGGCGAACAGATTGTACAAGGTTGTGAGACAATTCAGCTATCAGGTATGTATCATATTCGCCGAGGCCAGCGTAGATTTGAGAGCAAAATGATACACATTTTTAATTGGACTGATGTTGAGATGCTATGTATATACGTGTATATGTGGGACCGCCTTACATACACGTATACACGTACATCCCCCCTTCTTTCTTTACGATCATACTCTTTTTAACCATTGTTTTTTATTATACGGATTCTATACTGGACTTGATTCCGAGTTTTTTGATCCTTGCTATATTGGAGATATTTTTTAATTGAATTTCGCTGTTTCGTTTTTACGTAACCGCTGCGCTGGAGCTACGTCCAATCCAAATGTAAATACTTGCAAATGTTCTAAGGATATGTTGTTTCAGGTTGTCGACTGAATTCGCTATTCAGTGGTTTACCATCTGCATTTACGACTACAGTAATTCTCAGTGCAACGGAGGTCGAAAGTACTCGCTGTGGGAATAGTGGACACTGGAGACAGATAAGTGAAATAGGAGAGGGCGAGACATTTAAATATCTGAGGATATTGGAACAGTGTTTATAGAAGCAATACTTTAATAACGGAACAAGTATTTTAGGGATTTGGGGATTTTGGAAATTGGGACTTTTGGAAATGGGAAGCTTGGGAAATTGGGACTTTTGGAAATGGGAAGCTTGGGAAATTGGGACTTTTGGAAATGGGAAGCTTGGGAAATTGGGACTTTTGGAAATGGGAAGCTTGGGAAATTGGGACTTTTGGAAATGGGAAGCTTGGGAAATTGGGACTTTTGGAAATGGGAAGCTTGGGAAATTGGGACTTTTGGAAATGGGAAGCTTGGGAAATTGGGACTTTTGGAAATGGGAAGCTTGGGAAATTGGGACTTTTGGAAATGGGAAGCTTGGGAAATTGGGACTTTTGGAAATGGGAAGCTTGGGAAATTGGGACTTTTGGAAATGGGAAGCTTGGGAAATTGGGACTTTTGGAAATGGGAAGCTTGGGAAATTGGGACTTTTGGAAATGGGAAGCTTGGGAAATTGGGACTTTTGGAAATGGGAAGCTTGGGAAATTGGGACTTTTGGAAATGGGAAGCTTGGGAAATTGGGACTTTTGGAAATGGGAAGCTTGGGAAATTGGGACTTTTGGAAATGGGAAGCTTGGGAAATTGGGACTTTTGGAAATAGGAAGCTTGGGAAATTGGGGCTTTTGGAAATGGGAAGCTTGGGAAATTGGGACTTTTGGGAATGAGAAGCTTGGGAAATTGGGACTTTTGGAAATAGGAAGCTTGGGAAATTGGGGCTTTTGGAAATGGCAAGCTTGGGAAATTGGGACTTTTGGAAATAGGAAGCTTGGGAAATTGGGGCTTTTGGAAATTGGGACCTTGGAAAATTGAGGTGTGGGAAATTGGGACCTTGGGAATTTAGAATCTTGGGAGATTGGGACCTTTAGAAGTTTGGAACCTTGAGAGATTGAGACCTTGGGAAATTAGAACCTTGGAAAATTGGGATCTTTGGGAAATTGAGATCTTGAGAGATTGGTTCCTTGGGAAATTGGAACCTTGGAAAATTAGGACCTTTGGGAAATTGAAACCTTGGAAAATAGGGTCCCTAGGAAATTAGACCCTTGAGAAATTGGAACCTTGGAAAATTGGTACCTTGAGAAATTGTAACATACTATATTCTGCACTATGTAAGTGAAACAAGCGTTGCACTATGTTAGAATTTACTGCATTACAAGATTATTTTAAAGCAGTAAAACAGCGAATTCATTTGGCAACCTAATCCGATGAAAAATTCGGTGATTCGATCAGTTCTCGGTTGAACAATGTTGAAAGTGGATTGGAAGTAGCTGAAGCGTGAGTTATTAGCATTAGACATGTTCGAATTAACACGTTTGCTGCCCTTTCGACCCTCCTAGCTAGGCCGAATATATATATAGTTACCTGAAACCATTTTTTGATCTCTCTATACTCTTCTTTGAAAGAAATCAACAGAAACGCTAACCTTGTAATATATTCTTGTATTATGAAACCCTTTTTTTGACCCTCGCTCTTTGAATGCCTCCATCCAGGTAAACTCTTTCTCTCTTTACTTTAGACCCTCGTTGGGCTAATAGAGATCACGTTCGCCTTGTACAGATCATTGCTCTGCATATATATATACATTACATACGATGTATATATGTATATACATACCGCTGATGTTTTTTGCGAATTCATTGTTCCAGTTGCTGGTGTTAAATGTTGTTTCTCTTTTCATATCACTACACTCGTTTTTTTTACATATACGCAGTACTGCTATGCAAGACCCGTGACACCTGGTATGAATCATCCCTGATTCCGTGTTCTAACAACCGTAGTGTGTAATTTTTTATACGTTTCTTTTTGTACCAGAGAAGAACGCACGTTTTCAAGGAACATCATTTCATATATTTTCTTTTAGACCCATTGGACTTTTAATAGGTAAAAATTGGATTAATATTCTTTTGTCGGATTTCCGAAACGACGAAGAATATTCTTTTCTCGCAAAAATTTATTATCCGTTGGAATTAGCTTTGGAGGAACGTGATTCTCGAGCTACCATTATCACGTTTCATGTCGTATCAACTGTGATCATTACTTTTGTTGGTAAATCTATTTTGTGTACGTACATTTACGACTTTTTTGTGTACGATTAGTAAGGTGTGTTTTAGATGCTACGGGAATGCTTCCGTCTGTGGACGACGTCTATGTGCATTGTGGTCCCTCTCCTTCCACTATCTGGGGCATGACTATTATGTCTCAGTTTTTGCCAGCTTCTGATTTTCATCTATTTTTCTTATAACAACTGAGCTGAATTTTTATCACATCAGTCTTTTCCCAAGAAATTAAAGTTAATTTTTAACAATTATAAAAAAAATAATCTGAGTGCAAGTGTAGACATCATGCAGTTGAATTAAATTCAATAAAAAAATACATGTGTAAATAATAATCACTGACAGGTTTAAATGAGTCTATTATGATCTACACGTTACATGTGAACTGTACATTATATGCGATCTACACATGTAAAATTCATCTTAGTTGACTAACGATGAGAATATAAATAAATCTAATGAATGAACGTCAGAGAAGCTAGCAAAAACAACAAGGTCTGTACTATTTCACTGTCATTCACACAATCACTCTCTAATATTCTTCTCAGACAAATAACACTTTCCGTTTCAAACTTTTGCATTGTGTTTCTATTAGGACGGATAGAAGATCTTTTTCTGTTAACTTATTAGATGCAATTTTCTAAGTATCCAAGATATACGTATTTCAAAGTATTTATTACTAGTCAATCGATAAAGAATAGAATTCAAGCATTGCTTTGAAGAGTCACTAAGAAACGCTACATATGTATGAACTGTTTCGCTGGGCTAGTGTGATTGGTTGTCTACAACGATCCACCATTTCTAATTTTTATCGAGCTACAATTTTCACTTCTTAACATTCAGCTGTAATATTTAGATCCAAAGACGTTCCCCAGAATTAAATTTAAATCTCTGAACTTGTGATGTGGGACCAAAGTTTTGAATATTGAGATTCGAGGGTGTAAGAGATCGTTGTAAACAGTGCGCAAGCACGTTCGCCTAGCGACAGAACGTGAACGTAAGTTTGTATACGATGTTGCATGGGCGCAGGTACCAGGGGGCCCGCACAAGAAAGAACTGTTGGAAAACCTGGACCGCGTGCCGACGTACGTTCAGCAGCTTCAGTTCACCGTGAAGAACCCCACCGTCGGAAAAGCCGCCACATTCACGAAAGTCGATAACGTGATACAAGAGACAAAGAATTTAATGAACGTGATTTCGAAAGTGGTCACAACATGCTTCGTCTGCGCCACAAAGGTAAGCCATCGTATAAGACTCGAGAAGAGTGCTCAATACGACCTCTTTACTCAGGTTTTGTCTTTTGTTCGGTATTTTTTATCTTTGACTTTTGCGCTATGCGTAATGGGTTCAGTCTTTGCTGTTGCGATTGTTAATCAAGTTGTGTATCTTAGAATTACTGGGAGATATAAGGAAAGACTGAACGTTAATTTTTATAGCTAGCTTTGCGACAGGTTCGAATTTTCATGCAATTTAGATGTGCGTAATGTGTAAGAAATTAGCTCTGTGCGAATATTTCCTGGGTTAATTGATTTTTGGGGGGGATTTTAATGAGGGTAGATGACGAGGGTAGATTTTAATAGGGGTTCAATGTGAAAGAGATGGTAGGCAGTGTATGGGGTCAGACAAGTAGATTAAGAAGCTGTAATGTCAGACAAGTAGAATGAGAATTTAGGAGAATAAGTAGATTGATAGATATAGGTGGTTAGACTAGTAGAATGAGACGGTGGGAAATGAAGTAAGTAGATTGATAAACGTAGGTGGTAAGACAAGTAGATAAGAGCCTATGTGGTCAGACAAGTAGATTAGGAAGCTATGTGGTCAGGCAAGTAGATTAAGAACTTATTAGCTCAGACAAGTAGTTTAAGAACCTATGTGGTAAGACAAGTAGATTGAGAACCTATGTGGTAGGACAAGTAGATTAAGAACCTATGTGGTAAGACAAGTAGATTGAGAACCTATGTGGTAAGACAAGTAGATTAAGAACCTATGTGGTAAGACAAATAGATTAAAAACCTGTGGTAAGACAAGTAGATTAACAGCCTATATGGCCAGACAAGTAGAATAAGACTGTAAGACATCAAGTAACTAGGTTGATAAACACAGGTGGTAAGACAAGTAGATTGATTAAGGTGGTCAGACAAGTAGAATAATGACATAGACAGTCAGACAAGGATATTCATGAAAGTAGGTAGTCAGACAAGTAGAATAATGAAATGGAACATCAGACCAGTATATTTTGATCAACATAGGTGGTCAGACGAGTAGAATAATGACATAGACAGTAGGACAAGGATATTCATGAAAGTAGGTAGTCAGACAAGTAGAATAATGACATGGAAGATAAGACAAGTATATTCTGATCAACATAGGTGGTCAAACAAGTAGAATAATGACATAGGCAGTCAGACAAAGATATTCATGAAAGTAGGTAGTCAGACAAGTAGAATAATGACATGGAATATCAGACCAGTATATTTTGATCAGCATAGGTGGTCAGACAAGTAGAATAATGACATAGACAGTAGGACAAAGATATTCATGAAAGTAGGTAGTAAGACAAGTAGAATAATGACATGGAACATCAGACCAGTATATTTTGATCAACATAGATGGTCAGACAAGTAGAATAGTGACATAGAAGATCGACCAGTATATTCACTTACACAGGTGGTCAGGCAAGTAGAATAGTAACATAGAGAATCAGCTCTCAAGTAGATTCATCATCACTGGTGGTCAGACAAGTAGAATAGTGACATAGAGAATCAGCTCTCGAGTAGATTCATCATCTCTGGTGGTCAGACAAGTATATTTGTGACATAGGTGATCAGACAATTAGAATAATGAACTCAGGTGTTCAGCCAAGTAGAATAACATGATAAATCATATCGATTTAATTATTCTACTGATTCCCTACAAGTAGAGTAGAAGTTACTTACAATTGAGCAGTACATAAAAATTGTAATTTCGCTTTTACCATAAATAAACCCAGACGACCAACTGAAAACCAAATAATCAAAAACCATCTAAAACGACTTAAAACTTGACAAGTGAAGAAAAGCATAATCTCAGAGAAATATTCGCACAGAGTAGTGCAGGTCGCAGGATGTATCGTATCACGCCTAAAGTGTCTCCTTCCATGTATTCATCGACTAGCACAATATCACGATGCCGCAGTACGTGGAGCTGAGTCCAACAACAGTACCCGGTCTGGGCGAAGAGGATTGCTTGTACCCAGTTAGCCCTCAATTACTCCCCTCGACAAGTCCTTACGTGCACCCTCATCCTTTGACCTCCGCCCAGTTGCACGGCATCCTCCGTGCACCTGGTCTGAATTTTCCATTATTCAGCCCGTCCGTGGTTCCTCAATCGACCGGGTCGAGCACCGGTTCACGAAATTCCGCGTCCTTCGTGCATCCCTCGGTCCTGCCATACTCTTCGACGACCACAACGTCCAGTTGTGGACCGCAGGCACCGAATTGTCTGCAGAATCTACAGATGCTGCAGCTGCAGCTGCACCACGCACAGCTGCAGCACTTAAGACACGCCACTCTGCCCAGATAACAGAGACAGATCGCCGATGCTCGCGCGTACGCGCGTGCTACCGCTACGCTACTACGCGCACACCACGAAGCGTTGTTCTTTACGTTGCACAGGTTCGACTTTGGTTTCCCTCAGTTTTTTGCCTCCTTACTTTTTTGCGCTTACTGCACGCGGACATCGATCGGGACTTCTCGCGAAACTTGCGAACTGGGTTAATCGAGTTCACTGGTCTCGATGAAATTTTAACTCGGATTTAAAACCGCGGAGGAGATCGATCGATGCGCGGTGATTTTTCTTAACGCTTCTTTTTTCATGTGGCATTTTACGCGTAGTTCTGCCCGAGATGGTAAGTGCTTGAGTGTTTTTTCTTACTTATCACGGTTTTTGCTTTCGCTTATACTGATGTAACTTACGCTAATCGATCTAGTTTACTGTTTTCAGCCTTCTATTGCAGGAACCGGGCGTAATTTCGTAAATTTTTATACGTTGTCAGGGACACTAATTGTGCTTATTTTTCACGCAAAAATAAGCCGTTGCTCGTGCGAGACGCTTTGGAATAACAATAACATTGGAATTTTTCGAAAATTAGCTTTCTTATAACAGAGTAATAATGTTTGCGTATTATCACGGTGAGAGCATTATTAACAGTCACGATGCTATTAAACGAGCTCATTTACGATGTTAACTAGAAAATCGATGCGTCGGGCGAAAATGTTTTGGGGCTTAATGGAGATAAGAGTAATTAGATTTTGATTATGTGCTTAAGCGCGCATTAATTATTCCTTATTATGCGAGGAAATTAATTCTGGGATATTATTGATCTATAATAATCGGCTCTTTGTGAGCGTAACCAATTATTGAAGATATTCTAACTTAATCATTGGGGATATTCAATTTGGGGCGCTGAATTATTTTAGCGACAACGTTATTATTCTGTTGTGGTTGTTTAGGGAGAAAAATTGGGATTTTGGGAGAAGTTGTGAAATTTAGGATCTCTAGGGAAATTTTAGGATCTGGGGTTTCGGGGGAAATTTTGGAATTTGGGATTTTTAGGGAAATTATGGATTTTGGGGGAATTTTGGAATTCGAGGTTTCTAGGGCAAATTTGGAACTTGGGGTTTTGGAGAAAATTGTGAAATTTGGGGTTTCTAGGGAAATTGTGGATTTTGGGGTTTTGGGAGAATTTTGGAATTCGAGGTTTCTAGGGAAACTTTGGAACTTGGGGTTTTGGAGAAAATTGTGAAATTTGGGGTTTTTAGGGAAATTGTGAAATTTGGGGTTTCCCGGGAAATTTTAGAATTTGGGGTTTCTAGGGAAATTGTGAAATTTTGTGGTTTCTAGGGGAAATTTGGAATTCGCGGTTTCTGGGGAACTTGTGGAATTTTATATTTTCTAGGGGAAATTTGGAATTTGTGGTTTCTAGGAAAGTTGCAGAATTTCGAGTTTCTAGAGAAATTTTGAAATTCGGGGTTTCTAGGGAAATTGTAGAATTTGGGGTCTTGAGATAAATTATGGAGTTTGGGGTTTCTAGGGAAATTGTTAAAATTTAAGTTTTATAGAGAAATCGTGAAATTTGGGATTTCTAGGGAAATTGTGGAATTTGTGGTTTTGGAAGAAATTATGAAATTTGGGGTTTCTAGGGAAATTTTCACAACATAAGGTTTCTAGAGAAATTACGGAATTTGGTGTCTCTAGGGAAATTTTGAAATGTGGGGTTTTGGGAGAAATTATGGAATTTGGAGTTTGTAAGAAAAATGTCAAGATTTAGAGTTCCTAGTAAAATTATAGAATTTGAGGTTTCTAGGGAAATTGTCAAAATTTAGGGTTTCTAGCAAAATTATAGAATTCAAGGTTTCTAGGGAAATTGTCAAAGTTTAGGGTTTCTAGCAAAATTGTAGAATTCGAGATTTCTAGGGAAATTGTCAAAATTTAGAGTTTCTAACAAAATTGTAGAATTTGGTTTTTCTAGAGAAATTATAAATTTGGGAATTTATCTCATAAATTCGCAAAATCCTTCACCAAAAATAATTTCACTACAATCAATCTCCAATAGTAATACTCCGATTCAAATCATTGTAACCTAACAATGACACAATAACTCAATAACTACAAAATTCCCCAAATCATATAAAAACGCCCCCCAACCATAGCTTCTTGCAAGAAGTCCCAAGACATTCATCCTCCGACGTACACTCTCCTAGTTAATTTCCCCCATGAACTCCCTACAATAATCTAATTAAATCGGACTTATTTTTCAGTACAACCTGGATTTCCGAGGTCTGTCGGCGCGTGGGGCCGGCGGC